ACCTTAAACAAAATCTAAACCATGTCAACCCAGAAACCCAGAGCCTCAAACCCGGAACCCGAAACCCGCCCCGAAAGCCAGAGCCTCGTGTACCACAGCGGCGACCTTGGTCATCGCCTGGGCTCTTGTTTAAGGGGATGTTGCTTAAGTTGCCATCATGGGGATCTATAATAAATTGTATGGATTTAATGTAAGTTACCATAATGGGGATCTATAGCAAATACTATGGTGTTCTTATTATGACCATAATAAAGATCTACAGTAAAGACTATGGTTTCCTGATTCTGACCATCACGGGGATCTATAGAAAGAAAGAATAGGTTTCTGTATCGTGGCAACTTAAATAAAAGAATCCCCTAGCAAGAACCCAGGTCGCCTGGTGCTTCGACTCGGAGTCGACCTCAGGGCAGGGCCAGGAGGATGTCATCGGCTTCAAAAAGCTTTGGGGGGCTTCCGGGGCTTGGGATTTGTAGGGTTATGGGGTTTATGGGGTTTGGGACTTAAAGGGTTTGGGGCATTGAGGGTTGAAGGTGGAGGGCTTATGGGGCTGCGGACTTAGGGCTTGGACGATTTCGGACCCTCTCAATAAGGTCCCTTTCTAAGAGAGCCAGAAGCAGGGTTCAGAAGGGTCCCCTTTAAGGGGTCCCTAATACTGCCTAGGAGCTCGAAGCCACAACCTGAAGCCAGCGGCTCAGAAGCCGCACCCCCTAAACTCTCAGAGCTCTCTTCGTCTAGGTGCCACTGCATCCCAAGGTAGGATGCTTCCGTTGCTTCGAAAGCTCAGGGTATACGCTGGGTTTGGGGTTTAGGGTTTAGGGTTTGAATTTGCGGTAACCCAAAACCCCGGCGTGCTGGCGGCTGCGAACCATATACAAGATGAGCTCGGACTCAGGGTCTCTAAGGCTCGGGAGTTGGAGCTTGGAGTTTAGACCAGGGTTTGGGGGGTGGATGTATACTGCAATGGCAGTAGCGAGCCCGAATCTAAGGAATAGCAACTAGACTAGTACCAATGATTTAGGTTTGGGTGGATTTATACTACAATGGCACTAGAGAGCCCTAATCTAAAGAATAGTACCAAGGATTCAAGGACGTGTTTGGGTTTCGGAGCTCTCATGGACCGCTACAGCGGCCTTGTCGGCCCCAATGTAGCAGGTATTCTGGGAAGCCCGAAAAAACCCACAAGCTCTGCCGACTCTGACATCGAAGCCTTCTCTTCCAGCTTCGCGATGCGCTCCTTCCACTGCCTCCTGTCAGCTTGCTGCAAGCAGAGCACCAGGTTAGTTTCGGGCTTTTGGGCTTGGGGTCGAGGGCAGAACTGAAGGTTCCTACTTTAAAAGGGGGTTCGACAAGGGGTCTTAGAGACTGCCACTGCAACCTAAGGCTATCCCAGCTCTGTCGGTTTAGGGTTTTAGGAATCTCGCAGTTAATTTGGGGTGTAGGGCTTGGGGCTTTGAGCCTGGAGCCTTCTTGGAAGAGTCCAGAAACAATCTGTTCTTTCCAGCTACTCCCAGAGAAGCCTGTACGATACAGCCAAAACTCAAAATGTTACAATGGATACAACCTACCCCATACCCTCCGCGCAGCAGCTAAAGGCACAAGTTGTAGGGGTTTCAGGGTTGAGTTGCCTCAACCCCAAACTGGATGGCATAGACTGTCTGAAAAACATTTACATCAACCCTATCCAAAAAAAGCCTCCACCCTAAACCCTAAACCCCTAAAAGCCTAAACCCCTAAAACCTTAAAACCCTAAACCCTCAACCCTCACATCGCTCCTTTGAGCCGCGTCGTCCAGGGCCTTGGGCACCGCGGTTGGTGGCGGCAGCAGATCTTTGAGGGCCTCGAAGCGGTCGTGGGTTGCTTGACGGGGGGTTTAGGCTTTAGGGTTTAGGGTTTAGGGTTGTGGGCTTAGGGTTTAGGGGTTAAGGGTTAGGGTTTAGGGGTTAGGGCTTAGGGGTTAGGGGGTAGGAGTTGAGTTAGGGGTTTGGGTTTTAGGGTTTAGGGTTTAGGGTTAGGGTTTAGGGTTTAGGCTTCAGGCTTTAGGGTTTAGGGTTTAGGTTGCAGGAGCAACGAATGGTGTTGTGAGGGTTGAAGGATACGTGCCAAGGGCTCAGGGGCGTTAGGGGTTAAACGGCAGGAGCGTCCAGGGCTTGTAGGGCTTAGTGTTTATGGGCTTTAACCTTCATAGCGTTGTAAGGTTTAGGAGTTGGGATTTAGAGCTCAAGTGTCGTAGACGTGTGTTTCTGGGAAGGTTTAGCGGTTCTGAGTTTTAGAGATGATCATCATCAACATCATCATCATCATCATCATTTCAGCCGGAGTATTGGGGGCTGTTTCGGAATGATGGGGTGGGAGGGTCACAGGTTTTTTTTTTGCCCACTCCAGCCCTGCTTCACAATGAAGAGACCCTATGCAGTTGCAATCTTCTGATCAACTTCCCTACGTACCGGCATTCACTGCTATAAGTCTTGTTACTGATAGGCATTATGCCGACCCCTTTATTTCCAAAACCCCGAAAATCCTCAAAGCTGCCCTCAACATGCCTTGTAGGAGACCTTCAAGTAACCCTACCCGCCCCCCTCCGCCTTTCCCCCCCTCCTAAACCCCTAAACCCTAAGCCCTCAATCCTAAACCCCAAACCCCTAAATCTCCGAACCCCAATATCCAAAAAAACTTAAGGGAGGGAACCCTGCACCTTTACATTGACCTTCCCCACTGAACCTCCTCGGCTTCGGCTGCCATGCGCTTGGCTTCCTGCCAGCAGCGTCCGGCTTGACGGAGCATATCAAGTTTGGGGTTGTAGGATAGGCTCCACAGTAGTTCATTTTTGGGATTACCTTATAGGATCATAAATACAAGCCCCAAAAAGGAACTACTATGAAGCCTATGGGTAGGGTTTAGGATTCAATGTTGTTGTTGCTTTAAGGGTCTTGCGGTTGCATGGCTTGGGGAGTTTGAGCTGAGGGTTTAGGGTCTGGGGTATCGGATTGCGGAGATCTAGGGATTCAGGTGTTGGGGTGTATATTTGGGCTTATCTAAGGTTGAAACCATGGGCCCCTAGTATGGGCCCTTAACCCTGGGATCCTTATACACCTGCTATATGCCCTTTTTGTACCTGTAAGGGTCCCTAGAAATGCCTAAGGGTCCATATTAGGGGCCCATACTTCTAACCTTAGAGCTTAGGTTTAGGGTTTAGGACTTTGGGCTTAAGAGGGTCGGGTGTACGGGGTGTTGGGCTTTGAGGCTCAGAGAGTTGATCCAACTATTTTCAGGCTTAGGGTTTAGGGTTTAGGGTTTAGGGTAGTCCAAGAACCTGACCCAACACCTACAATCGTCAACCTTTCTAAGGAGCCCTGACTACACCCACAACCCAGTACAAACCCTACTGTGGTCTGCGTCATACCTCTCGTCATGACCCGGCGAGAAAATGTGCTGTGATGAGAACAACCCTAAACCCTAAACCCCTAAACACTAAACCCTAAACCCATTTTGCACCTCCAATGGGGGCTTTGGTTCGGGTAGCATCGAGCTGGTGGGTACCTAAAAGAGCTCCTTCGTAGGTCCGTTGAAGCACGCGCCTAGATGGATTCCGAGAAGGGTTCTGCGTTGCAGGGTTTAGGGCTTAGGGTGTAGAGACCTGCCTGCCTCTCGGATTTGTTCTAAACCGGGTCGGGCTGTTAGATATGTACTTCAGAGTCGTGGGCTGTTTGGCCTATGCTTCGGCATGGTTCAGGGATTTGGGTCTAAGGGTGTTGATTTCGGGCTTCGGGTTGAGAGTACACCTCCATATCTCCACCTGTCTTGCGGCTCAACGCCGACATCTTCCACACAAGCCCAAGGCCCTGGAACTGAGCCTAAACCCCGCAGCAGGACTAGAATGACCTTATTGACTAGACTAGGGTTTTGGGGGATACTGCCATCTACTTCTGTAAGGGCTATGTGGGGGCAGCATTCCTCTTCAAAGATAAAGGAAACCCCAGATTCGGTCAGTGATTTCGCAGCATCTCCATGCTCTCATGGCGCAGATCGTAGTGGCAGCGAGTTCAGGCAATCAGAGAAGACATCTCCCGAGATGTCGGGCTTAAACTTCTAAATAAATACCAATACTATGTTTTTTCTTCTTTGCGGTGGTGGTTCTCTATTTTGGCTATTTTTTTTCTTTTTTTTTGGTGGGTTCCTTACTATAACTATAGTCCAAAACGCTATCCTAACTATAAGGCCCCACATCATTATAAGGGCTTGGGCCTCGGGCCGTAGAGTTGAAGCTTTCCGTGGGTTTAGGGTTGAGGGTTTCGGGTTTCGGAGTTTAGGGTTTAGGGTTTAGGAGTTTAGGGGTTTAGGGGTTTAGGGTTTAGGGTTTCGGGGTTTAGGGTTTGGGGCTTAGGGTTTTGGGGCCACTGGTGTGGGGTTCAAGGGTTTCGGGTTTCGGGCCGAGGTGTGCAGGGGGCCACGGGGTGGTTACGAAGTTGACGGTGGATTAGGGCTTTAGGGGAAAAGCTGCTTTAGGGTTTAGGGTTTAGGGAAGTTGACGGTTAGGGATTTAAGGGGGAAAGCTAAAAAAATTGAGGCTGTGCGACATTTTCTACCAGTCATGCGCAGTTGGTATGGGCCTGCTCCTGGGTCCATATTGGACGACAACAGGGGCCGGCAAGCGGGACGAATGTATTACAACAGCAGGAACTCCTGCTACAGGCTGTTGAACAAAACGCTCCGGCTTCAGGCGAAATCTTGCAAGGACTGATTCATCTAAACCCTAAACCCTAAACCCTACAACAACAAACCTCCAGAAGCAAGAGCTTGCGGACCAGGGTCTCAGGATCCAAGGCTGCAGTGAGGCAGCAATTGGCATTGACAGATTGCCGCTACTCAACAGAGGGCCGAGACCGTTGAAGAAAAAGCTTGAAATGCTGTCCAGCGTATCAGCAGCAGACTATGGCCTCCGGATTTGTTTGCAAAACTCGGCCCCCCGGTTTATCCGCTAGAGACCCTCAGAAATGTCAGTGCTAACCTCTGCGTCGATGTGCCGACCTCACGATCTTTCTATGCATGGCAAACCCCAAGAGCGTCTCTGAGAACTCGTTGATGGCATCGGTGAAATATTGCTGCTTGACCTGATACGGAGATTCTGGGACATCGGCCATTGCTCGCTTGTTGTTTTGAATCGGTTTGAGGGGTCTTGTTGTTAAGGGGCTCTAGAACTGTGGAGTGGCTTTCTTTTATGTGATCCTATAATGACGTAAGAACCTAAGCCTGTAGACGACTTCGGGCCCATTGTAGAAGTTCTTGTTTTCTGAAACCCCAAGTACACTTCAGCCCATGCGTCTACCTGTTCAGGATCATAACCTCAATGTGGATGGAGGTCATGACATTCAACTCCGGTGGGCCATTAATTCCAGAACCTCTGGGAATCCAACTCCATTCTATGGAGATTTGGCTAGGGCTTGGAGGTGCACAAGTTGCGCAAAATCCGCAATGGAAGCAGAATAGCAAATCCTAAAGCTCACGTAAAACCTCGCACATAACGAACGCAAGGCAACGACCTCGTAGGACGCCCTCAGGCTTGACAAGTGGAGATCGGGCCCATCGGTTCAGGGCACTGGGTGTTGCCAGGCCCTTCCTTCGGTCTTCTTAGGATCCCGCACTCACTTTTGAAGGCTTCGGCTTGGTTTCAGCTAGGATTCGTCAGGATTTGGGATGCTTTTGGGGCCTAGGCCCCCCCGGCCGAAGGCTCGAGACGAGTCGCATCCACACCGTCAGTTTCGAGGATCCAGTTGCCACCAACCGCAGAGTTCCTGCCGAAATGGGCTCAGGCGCTTCGATCTGGCATGGTTTTCCTTCAGGGGCTCTTGATGCGAAGAAGCCTGTATAAGCCACACAAGAGAGCTTCTGGGTGCAGGGGCTAGCAGAACAAACCTCTAAATCGAACCTCCGCCTCCGGAAGTGCAACCTGCCTGTCAACGCGGGCTCCAAAACCCCCCCGAAAGAAAACCGAACACAGCGACAGTAACTCTCCCAAACCCCGGAAAAAATGCACTTAGGTGTGCACATTGCACCCTGTGGAGTGAAGATTGAAGACCTCGACAAGCATCTGAAGGTCAGAGGCAGCTCCTCACACCCTCAACAGCCGCACCCCCAAACTCCTCGACTTTAGGGCTTTTGGAATTCAAGGTCTACGGTTCAGGGTTGAGGGATTATAGGGTCTAGGGGTCTAGGGGTCTAGGGGTTTAGGGGTGTAGGGGTTTAGGGATGAGGATTTAGGGTTTAGGTGTTTAGGGGTTTAAGGGTTTAGGGGTTTAGGGTCTAAGGGTTCTTTGGGGAGGTCACCCCTTGTGTGTCGGTCCCTGTGAGGTCGGTGGAGGCCGCGAGGTTGATGCCCGACTCTTGCTCCAACTCTTTGAAGATCTCAGGGGAAAAGACGATGTGGGCTTAGGGTTTAGGGTTTAGGGTCTCCAACTTGTTGAAGATCTCAGAGGGGAAATGACCATGTGGGGCTGTGTCTGTAGAGCTTTAGGAGGCTTTGCGGGTTTCTATCCTTCTGGTCTTGGAAAGCTGGCTCGCAACGTCTTCGGCAAGTTGTATAAAGCTTGGGGTTATTCGCCCTCAGCCCCGAAACGACTCAAACTAAAGGCAATCAATCTCCAAACCCCATTCGCCGACATAAACCCTAAACCCTAAGCCCTAAACTCTAAACCACAGCTCTGAAAATCGAATGGCCCATTGCCTTCAGCCCGGTGGGTCCCGCGACCATCTCGCATGCGAGAATGTCCACACGAGCCCCCTTCATTCAGGGTTTAGGGTTTAGGGTGTAAGGTTCGCGGTTTACAGTGTAAGGACTTCAAGTATAGGGTCACGGCTTATAGCTTGGAGTTTGGATTCGGGTCGGGAGTTTGGATTAAGCTTAACGGGCGTGTGGCTGGCTTTGGAGATGAGGGTTCCGAGGGCTTGGGGCTCAGAAAGCTGACCGGGCTATGACCTCTTTGTTTTTGAAGCCCCCTTTTCTTCCCTAATTACTACTGGGTTACTACTGGTATGACGGTATGACCTTCCAGAGTTTAGGGTTTGAAAAAAAATACATCAAGCAGCTTTGGTCCTGTGCACATCATGAAGAATCACAACAGCATCTACGAGCATGACTGTGGAGGAGCAGCAAGCGCTCGGAATGTTCACATTTCCGAGGGCCGATGGCAGAAAAGAGCACCGGCGTCCGTAGCTGCCACCCTACATGCATGTTTCGGTTACCGCTACTTGGCTTGAATCGCATCTTGTCGCGATCTCTGTTTGTTTCGATTGCACATGTTCCACAAATTTAATTCCCTTGTACAAAGAGCTTTTGTTGGATGTGCATGCATTGCTTCCTCTCGAGAGTGCGCCCGCAGGAGGACGGGCCAGTGGAAAAACGCAGGTCCGATGATGCAGGGTCGGCGGCACTGGCATCCGCCCTATTGCTAAAGCAAGGCTTGCAAGCTACCAGCGAATTAAGACCCTCAAAAATCCCAACCCCTGAGGCCCTAAAACCCGCCAAACCCAAAACTACAACACCCTTGGCAAGGTTTAACTGGTTCCCTGTTGGGGCCATATTAACAATGATCATTTTTTGTAACCCTTCTTAAAGTTTTAATCCTTCTTAGGGTTTCAAAACATAACAAAAACATGCAAGATTGTACCCAACAAGGACCCAGTTAAGCTTGGGCTTCGGGGGCCACGCCTCCGCAAGGTAGGGCTTCAATGCTGCCAGGAACTTCAGGTTCTGCTCCTGGCAGGGATCGGGGCGCTTTGAAGGCTTAGGGCTTATAGGGCTTAGGGTTTAGGGTTCAGGGGTTTAGGGTTTAGGGGTTTAGGGTTTAGGGTTTAGGGTTCAGGGTTTAGGGTTTAGGGCTTAGGGCTTAGGGCCTGGGTCCTGTAGGTCCTCAGCCTCAGACGCCCTAACCAAAAACAAAAAGACATGGATAGTTCTCTACATGAGGGTCCCCTGTTTGGGTCCCCAACATAGTACGGCACCCTTAAACAAAAGGGGACCCTAAAAAGGACCCTAAGAAAAGAAAACTACCCACCTGAACCGACAACTAAGCCTTCATCCCCCCGAAACCCAAAGCCCACAAATCCGAATCGCAACAACCGACGCCAGGGACCGGAGGCCCAAGGCCACAAAAAACCCCAAACATGAAGATCCCGGAGGGATCCAGAGCAATCTGGCTTTGATGGCTGCAATTCCAGGGGGGCCAGAGGTCTGGAGGCCTGGGGTTTAGGGTTTAGGGTTTAGGGGTTTATAGGGTTTAGGGGTTAGGGTTTAGGGTTATAAGGGTTTGCGGGCTTAAGGTTTAGGGGTCTGCATCCTGAGCCCTAACCCCAAAAACGTCGAAAGTAGAGGTGCCAAGCCCCACTTAACTGAAAGCTTACACGCCAGATCCACCAGACACCCTAGACACGAAACCGACCACAAGGAATTACAGGAGTAGGAGAAAGCCGTAAAGCTCTTCTCCGCGGTACTGGTAGGTGTGGCAGCGAAATGTTCATGTCTATGCTGGTCCGAATCCTTCCGACGCCTGGTTGGCCGGAATCAAAAAAAAGCCCTCAGCCGCCGAAAGCCCTCAACCCAGGAGAGAAGAAGAAACTAAGGCTAACACCGTGGCACCCTAGACCTCCGGACCCCGGAGAAACCCCTGGAGCCCTAAACTCCCCCAACGCACCGAAAACCCTAGCAATACACCGACCTAATACTGACGGTTCTTCCTACAGGAGCCATGGCTAACGTGGGTTCAAAGTTTGCTTCCTGATCCGTTGCTGCGTTTCAGAAATCGCAAGAAGCAGCATTTCTGCTCGAGAATCTCGAAAGGCAAGAAGTATGCGTACGCAACACTTTGGGAGCACGGGTTTGGGAGCTTCAATACAAAAACACTGTTAGAGATTGAGAAACCTCCAAGAATGAGATCACTCACTAGCTACCCAGACCTCAAACCCCAAACCCTAAACCCTAAACCCAAACCCCGAGATTCAAAGCCCTGTTGCAACTCCTTGTACTCGCCCGTCATCTCGGAGCCATGGAACATCCAGCCGACATGTGTAAAGGAGCCTTCGGGCACCTCGGGCCAAAAAAAGGGGGGTGGGGATTTTTGGGGGGTTTCTCAAAACACCTAATCTATGGTTTAGGGTTTAGGATTTAGGGTTTAGGGTTTAGGGGGTGATAAGTATTGAGGTCCGTTGTAAGAGGCAAGAGTTGAAGGGTTTATGGCGGGTAAGGGCTCAAGGATTTAGGTCGTGGGGCTCAGGGATCAGTTTTGAGGTCCGAACCCTTGCTCAACTTTGCCCCAAAACTCCTCTACCCTAAATCCAATTCCCCGCTGCATTCTGAGCCCCCCCGAAGCCCTGAACGCAACATCGTCAGCGCTGGACTAAAGTCCCCTAAACTCCCAACTCTTAAACCCTAAAACCCTAAACCCCTAAACCCCGAACCCTAAACCCTAAACCCCTAAACCCCTAAACCCCTAAACCCTAAACCCTAAACCGCCAAAGCCCTAAACTCCCGGGGAGTCTCATGGTGTTGCCTCCACGGCACTTCTGCGGCCTTCATGGCGGCCACAATGTCATCCCAGAGCTCATGCTGCTCCTGTCGGTTTTTGTTGAATTCCGGTGTGGGTCCCTTTATCTGGGGGTTTGGGGCTGGGGCCTGAATCCCTTCTACGATCTCTCACTCTCGCTTGTAAGCCCGATGCCAACGAGCCTAAATTCTCCTTCAGACCTGACTGCAAAGCCCCCTTTTTTCAATGTCCTGAAGTCGGCTTGCTTCTGTGCCAGTGCAGCTCTAAACCATATCGTCCGACACAACCCTCAACCTCAAATCACACCCTAAATCCCCATGAACTCCCAGACCCTGAATCCTAAATTTGCGGTCCTTGGCGGCGTACCACATTTGCAGCACTCCCTCCTGCAAGGGGGCTTGGAGGATTCAGGCATAGGAATGGGTTGAGGGCGGCTTAATCAGGGTTCGCTGCTTTGGGGTAAGGGAGGCCTTCGAGAAGCTTTCAAGATGGCATGGCGTAGACTCCTCTATGCCGAGATCACAGAACAAGCTACACGCCAGAAGGACATGGGCATTTGAGCACCTCCTCGTAACAGGTGGGACGAGGCCGTTTTCATGTGCAGCAGCCCTGACTAGACGAGGATGATGCACGCATCAAGAGGTGTGGCAGAGGGTCGGAAACGGTTTAGTCTGGTTTAGGGATTCAGACTTTTTCAGTCAAGGGTTTAGGGGTGTAGGGCTGAAGTTGCTTAAGGGCTTTTAGGCTCGTGGGGAGGAAGGACCCGTCAGTGGCAAAGCTCTTTTCAGTATCTGCTGCCGAGTAAGAGCTTCTGGGACATGAACTTCACATTGACTTGATTAGGGTTTAGGGGTTAGGGGTTTAGTGTTTATTGACAACAGTGTGGGGGGCATCCCTGGTCCCATTTGGGCTTCTAGCATGGGCAGCCGACGCCCCCCAGGCTCCCAAGCCCAACAAACTGCTAATGCCCTAGCCCTTAAAAACCCCTTTTGAACCCCAAAACCCCGCCAAAAAAAGAACACGGTTTAGGGTTTAGGGTTACAAACTCTGGCACTCCAGAGTCCTCTAAGCTCTAAATCTATAAATAGGAAACCCCCTAGAGGATGCCCTACATGCGTCAAAAGCCCACCGAAGAGCCGCAGCTCACTTGGGAGCTTCCGTAAACAGGGGGCCTAAGTTCAAAATCCTCACCCGACAACTGTAGAAGAAACCATGTTTGATTCAGGTACAGAGACGGACACGCTATCAAATCCGTGAAAGATCATACGAAACCCTAGAAACTAAAGCCTGTTAAACCCCTAATTTGAGAACACCCCGGCCCACTTCATCCGTCTTTCTGGCCCCACCTTCGCGGCAGAAGCAGCTACCGGCCAAGAGAGGATGCCATCGCTGATCCAAAGCAAAGTCTTCTCCTTCGCAATAGATGGGGTATGTAGGACCTTACTAGGTTTAGGGTTTAGGGTTTAGGACTTTGCAGGGTGCTGCACAGGGGGGGCTTATGCTAACCCTAGCGAGGTCTCCTGTCGGGAGCTTCTTAGAAGTATGGGTCGTTTGTGGTCGTTGTACGGATCTGTCTGTCCCAGAAGACCGACCCATCCCCCAGAGCTCCCAAGCCCAAGAAGCCCTATGTCCTAGACCCTCCTCAAAGCCCCCTGAAAGCTGCCCCTGGAGCAACTAAAACCCGATAGCCTCTAAAGCCTAAAACCCCCCAAATCGTGGGACCCCAAGGCCCCTCAACCCTTACACTCCAAAATAAGCCCGAACCGCCCCAAACCCTAAACCCTAAACCCTAAACCCCTAACCCTAAACCCTAAACCTCAAACCCTAAACCCCAAACCCATCCCAGAAATCTCTCAGAGCACGTCTCCCCGGCGTGCTTCTTCGCCGACAGCTTGGGCTTCAGCTCATCGGATGCCGCCTTCCACTTCCTGGGTTTAGGGGTTTAGGGTTTAGGGGTTTAGGGTTTAGGGGTTTAGGGTTTGGGGTTTAGGGTTTGGAGTTTAGGGGGTTTAGGGGGTTTAGGGTTTAGGGTTTGGAGTTTGGGGTTTAGGGGGTTGAGGGGGTTTAGGGTTTGGGGTTTAGGGTTTAGGGGGGAGGGGGGAGGGGCGTTGAATTGAATCGGGAAAGGTGTGAGGGGTTCTGTGAGGTTCGGCAAGGGTTAGACGAAGTCCTTTTGGCCGCTTGGAGCAAAGGGTCTTTTGCCTGTTGGGTCCTCGGGTCGTTTGGAGACCCGATGGAGAAGCCTCAAAGAGCACTGCTGAGGTGCTTACATCACCATCGCAGACTTTCGGAAACCCTAGGTCCATCTTTCTTCACAGAAGACGACGAAAAGCGAGAAGCTGAGTCATGGGGCCTAAAGGTTGTCAGAGTCGGGCATCGGGCCTAAGGAAACAAGGAACCTGCACTTCTTCGGGTACCTCCTGCTGATGATCTCAATCCTGCATTACCTTAAGGTCCCTAAAGCTTGGGAATTATGGTATTTTCCTTATTATGGGTAATGCAGGATTTATATCATCAACCGTCTCTCCCTTTCTCCCTCTGGGTTTGAGGCTTGCGGTTTGAGGACTTTGAGCCCTGGACCTTGCATCTTGGACATGGGCTGTTCGCTCATGGCTGTGGCTTGGGGCCGACACTGATCTCCTTCCTACCCGTCAGAGAGAACCCTAAACCCTGAAACCCGAAACCTCCGAAAGGAATCAATCTTGAACCCCCACGCCAGCTCTTGAAGGAGGACGTCTGATAGCTCTAGCTTGCTGGACGATACCTCCCCGATACTAACTAACAGCGCAAAAGGCGGTGGTCAGGGCTTCTGGGCTCTATCTGGGGGTTGGCTGTGCCCCTACATGCCAAACCTCTTACACACAAAAAAGAAACCGAAACCCCGTAAACCCTAAACCTAAACCCTAAACTCTAAAACCTAAACCCTAAACCCTAAACCCCTTAAGCCCTAAACCCCAGACGGCCTTCTTTGGGTTACAGAAATACCAGAGCCGACCTACCCCATGAGCTCCGAAAGATCCCAGAACCGCCCTTTCGGGGCAGCTTTGCAGGTTTAGGGTTTAGGGTTCGGGGCTTAGGGTTTAGCGTTTCGGGCTTAGGGCTTAGGGCTTAGGGCTTCGGGTTTACGGTTTGGGTCTAGGGTTTAGGGTGTAAGGTCTTGGGTTTTGGGTTTAGGGTTTAGGGCTCAGGAACTCAGGAACCCACAGCTCCCAGCTGGGGCTCTTCTCTTTCTGGATGTTTGCCATGGCTTCGGCGATGGCCTCGTTGGCGGCATCCAAGACACGGGCCTTGTCCTGAGGCCATGGATGTTGGAGCTTGGGACGGCGAGTGTAGGACAGAGAGCTTCGTCCGGCAATTGGAGTATCGGCGGGGCGTAGAAACGAGCTGTGCTGCCTTTGTCACAACGAAGGCACTCATCCACTTATGACACGAGACCCTGCACCGTACTGAGAATATACATGTTGAAAGCTACCCTGACTCGCGACAGATGTTCAGATCCAGCACTCTCAATACCCCTGCAAAAGCGAGCTTCATCCGCTTCTGTTGATGGACAAACTCATTAAACTTCTGCGGTGCATCTAAGGTTCAGGGCTCAGGGGTTGAAGATTCGGGCTTCGGGTCTGTGGATTAAGTCCGGATCATAGGTGCAGGCCTTTACGGTTTAGGGTTGAGGGAGCAGCACCCTTGAACCTTACCACGCGGCCTAAACTTAATCGTCAGCCTCTTATCCTCTCAGCACCGCAACCCCCGCACACCAAAATCCCTCAAACCCCCAAAGAAACCCTAAACCCGAAAACCTAAAGACCGAAACCGCCGGGTTGCAAGCTGCAAGAGGGAGCAAGAGTTCAGGAACGAATGTTGAATCATGGGCTTAAGCCTTTTAAGGCGGTCTTTTTCCGGCTTTGGGCTGCCATTCGGAACGTCAGAAGCCACAACCTTCGACCCTGAATTTTCTGGGACCCCAGGACCCTCAACTGACTCCGAACCCTAAACCCTAAGCCGAATGACCCTCAGGGTTGAGGGTTTAGGGTTTAGGGGTTTAGGGGTTTAGGGGTTTAGGGGTTTAGGGGTTTAGGGGTTTAGGGTTTAGGGTTCAGGGGTTGAGGGTTTAAGGTTTAGGGGATTACTGAAAAGCCTATACCCCGAGCCCCCAACCCAAAGTAAAACCCCCACCTCCGCAGTGAGTTCAGCAAGGGCTGGGACAACCATGGAATCAGGGCCGGCTGTGGGAGCGGACGCACCAGAGCCCATCTTTGCAAATCGCGGAATCCCTTGAGGGAGTCTATCTAGGGCCAAGCTGCGGTTTGCCGTCTTCGGGTTCGGGGTTTAGGGGTGCTAAACCCGGCACCCGAAACTCCACTAAGCCTGACACTGAACCCTAACACCACATGAAAAAGGCAAACCTGCACCCTCAAACCCGATGCCACTGCGCACCTGAAAGCCCCTATGCACACCCTGTAACTAGAACCGAAATACCCTATGTAAGACCTTTCCCATCGAACCTCTGCAGTGGGTGCCGTCCCCTGCTGTTCGCCGACCTCATGGAGCTTGTTTTTGAGTATTTCTGGTTTGGCATGCGGGGGTTTAAGGCACCGGGTGGCCAAAGCTAAGGGCTTTAAGGTTTAGGATTCTGGTGCTTAGGGTCTAGATTTCAGGGTTTCGGGTGTAGATCTTTCGCGTTTGGGATTCAAACTTTCAGGGTCCACGGTTTAGTCTTCTAGGCTTTTTGGGGCATGCGCGACACTGGTACTTCCAGCAATACGAGCATCTCCCAACATCCACCCAGAGACGCGTGGAGACGTGAAGGCGGCAGACAGGTTCTAAACCCTGCATGTCAGCTGAGGTTTAGGGTTTAGGGTTTAGGGTTTTGGGTTTGGGTTGTTTGCTTTGGCTTACAGTCAATCAACCCTTTGCTCTGGCGTCAAAGCCCGAAAAGAATAGAGACAAGACGTTCCCAAGGCATACACACAACCCTAAACCCTGAACCCTTGGGCCCAAACCTACACACTGAAACCCTGAAACTCTCAAAACCCCCATCGCAACCAGCCGAGGCACCTCACTAGCGAAGTGGCCATGAGAGGGAAGCAGGCCTTTCCTTAGTTGCAAAAAAATGAGTGAACGTTTAGGGTGTAGGGCAGTAGCTGGGGAGGGCTCTAGGGTGCGTTTAATCAGGGGCCTTAGTAATTAGAATAAGGTTTTGGTGTATAGTATACTATGATTACCATAAGGAGCCCCCAAAAAAGTATTGGTAATTATTTATGCCCCTATAAATTAGTGCTTTTTAGTGGTCTGGAGAGTTCTATTCTAGGACGGTTGGTTGTCGACTTCTGGAGCTGGGTCTTGGGAGGGATCTGAGGCTTAAGGCTGCGTG